CGTGGTAGCGTGATAGCCGGGGAAAAAGGACTTGATTGCACACAGGAAGAAGGNCGTGATAGCTCGGGTATGGCATCTCTGGATGTGGCGTGGAAGCCTGGTGGCGTGATAGCCGTAGGTATATGTATTAGTAAGGACGTGGATGTCCGGAAGGCGTGATAGCCGGGTGACATCATGGCCAGGATTGGCGTGGAAGTCGTGGCGTGATAGCCGTGGTAGCGTGATAGCCGGGGAAAAAGGACTTGATTGCACACAGGAAGAAGGAAGAGGAAAGAAAAACAAGTGAGAAACCACAACGCACAATCACCATATCCGTTGTAGACACATACATACCCACACCCTTAATCCTGTAATATACGGCAAAGTTGGTACCATCAAATCGAATCCAAAGCAACTGCTGAACCTCCAAACTTCCCGCTCCATCTGCTCGGAAATTTCTCGCTTGCAATAATAATCTGTCGATGCTGTGAGTACGTCTAACGTGTTGCATCTACCACCCACCCTGTCCGGGTAGCCTTGCGCAGAGACTGACACGCGCTCTTCGAACTTTGTATGTGTGCGCGATTCACTAGCGAAGAACAACGAATCGTTCACCGCGTGCACGGTCGGCTCCTGTACAGGTTTGATCGTGTATGCATTGCACGGCCGGGGTGTAAGGAAGATGGACCGAGCAGGTGAGGGTCGCATGTGACCCTTATATGGGCGATGTTGGGGTACTTTGCTCACGGTGGTCATGTCTTTTCGTCAGGACACAAAGAAATATTTCATGCCCGCGAGACTGTCATTCCCTGAAGAACACAAGCGCACGTGGCTACAGCGGCCGCAACGTAGTTGGCAGCCTCCCATCCCTTTTCCTTCGAATACGGGGTAACAAGTGCAGGAATATTCGGTTTCTATGCTAGACTAGTCCGGGAGATGTAGAAAGGGGTGTGCCATTTTGGGGACTTGATCTGGTTCGGTACTTCCCGCTGCGTTCATCATACATTTATATATAGTCTCCCCGCTGGAAGTATTTATGGGGAGACAAATGGGTTGGTACGCGAGAACCCCCCGCCTCGCAGCCCATGCAGCTGGCCAGGCGATGTGCGCTCTCTGAGTCTCTCTCCCTCGCGCGTGGCCTAGAAACCGAGCAAATAAGGAAGCCATTCAAAACAACACAACAGAACACGCATCCTTTATTGAGAGCAAAATCGTCGAGCCGTGGTCCAATCCGTTGGAAGCACTGGCGGCCTTGTTCGTTGTTGGTTGTTTTCGTCTTGCCAAAAAATCTTCTGATGTGTGCTCATTTTTCAACGTCCGTCAATCTTGCGGGACGCCTTGTGTGGTCACAGGGCAACTGCTGTACCCCACAAGCAGTATACGCTAGAATAAATGGGCCTGGAAAATCAACACAAACCTTAAACCTTACCAGAGGAGAAAAAAGAAACGCCGCAAACGTCCAAACATCACCGGCGACATATCGGGTAAATGGGAAACCGTCGCCCCCTCTTGGCATGCGATGCCAAGTAAATCAAACAAAAAGAGAACCAAAGACCAAACACAAAGACAACCAATGCATGACTTCTAACCTCCCTCGTACCCCTCCTAGTATAGGCCTAGAAAAACAGTATTTTGCCACGGTTGCACCGCCCATTCCACTCCCCACATAATATTAACCTAAAAATATAGCATGTGGAGAGTTCAAGATACAAAAAAACAGCGATTCATGTTCCGACCTAAGCAAACAGATACTTCTTATTTTCACTCTTTCCTACAGGATCTCGCCGGCCACGCTCACCCACGCCGCCCCCAGCCACAAACCAAAGCAAACAGACGCACACACAATTGCACCTGCACCATCACCACATCACATCGGGGAAAGGTCCAACAGAACGGAAGGGATTGGCACCAAAAAAAAATGAACGGGAGAGACTTGTGGCGGGCGTTCCCAACCCAAATACTTTAAAGTTACTGCTTTCTGCCCTTCTCGGCTCCTCAGTCGTGTTCTCAGATTTGATCATTCATGCACGCTTGCCCTGCGCAAAAGACAAACTACCTTACTTCCAAATACCATACATTTGAACAGAAGCTGCCCAATCAGGCCAGGGAACGGTCTACTCTCTACTTGCTCCCTTTCACAGTTGGGCAAAATCTAACCCCCCCCCCCTAGCATTTATAGCACCAGCCTGGTCGAAAATCACGAATCCCGGTAGGGCGAATTAGCAGCACCACGAAAAACTCTTCTGAACCCGTTGTGTGGTCAATTGCCCCTCCCTACGGGACCTTCTTCGATCGGGGCCGTCCAATCACACGCTGGTTCCAAACCAACACAGCCGCCAGAGCCACAAGTCCCGCCAACAGCACAAGCAGAGCCAGAGGCGTGCCGTCCTCGCCTCCCTCTTCAAGCGACAATAGCGGTAGCATCTGCCCGATAGATGAGAGGTCTTTCCCGACCACGTCCAACCGCCAGTCCGTGACGAGGTCGATGTACTTGGAGTGAGGCTTCTGACACTCGTTGCTGCCGGTGCCGTTGAATGACGAGGTAAGCAGGAAGTCCGCCGAGGCGGAGATCAAGCCGGATACTATTGCCTTCACGCCTGCGTCCTTTTTTTTTAGGGGATGGGGGGGGATGAGCCGGGAGGGTTAGCCCAAACACGCGCAAAAGTTTCAACGAGATATCATCGTTCAACACCATCTCTCTACTACAGCAGCATCTAGGTCAACCAGAGGTGTGTTCTTGCTGGATGCCCTTCTGATCACGCTAGAGTAGAAGAGGGTCCCTCTGTGGGGTGGGTAAGTGTCAGGTCAACTCACCCGCCCTGTAGTGTGGTAGTAGCTGGCACGCTCGCAGTATCCACGCTGTGGAGAATAATGCAACTCGATTGTTGTATCAGAGTCAGTATGTGCCATCCGCCCGTATCGGGTTAACCAGCCCTTTAGTCTAGAGGGACCCCCGACTGCAGTCGAAAGCAGGGCTGTTCCGAAAATCAGACGTCGTCGCTCATGAGCGAGAGAGCATGATGTTCGATTATTCCTTCTATCAGACACACCGGGGGCGAATAGACAGTCGTACGGGCGGCGATAAGGGACTTGCTTGCTTTGAAGCGTGCACGTATCACAAGTCGAGAGCTGCTTCGTGTTTCGATAGCACCATCACGGCGTGAAGCCTTGCATCGGGAATACGCAAAAAATACAAATGGACTCTGGCTGAACCAGTCAAGAATCCTGCAGTGAACACCTGCAACACCTCCACGAGACACAAACGCCCCAAAACTATTCAGGCACGTATGCCATACTTGCTTGGTTTTCAGCTCATCGCTGGTGGACGACGATATCGTCGACGCGATCAATGCTGCTTCGATCCCCAAAGCCGCACCTGTTCATCATTTAGGATGTCGTAGACGGTGTTATCCATCGCCACAGGGTAGTCCCCGCGGATTGCATCCACGACGCCGCTGTAAGCGGACACCACCTGCTCATATGCCAGCAGAGACAACCGGCGCACGCGAGTCGACGGGACCAGATAGGCCAGGCACGGATTGGGAGCAGGAGTAACAGGCGGTCCGACGGCATCGTCGTGGATAAAGACGGTACCGCAACCAGCTTTGGGGGCACACGCCGTGCACAGGGAGCACACAATTATCTCCAAAGGGCGATAATCGTTGTTGTGTGAGTACGACATGAGACATGATTTCTCGTAGCCTCAGCCGCGCCAGAACTGGGGGAATCCCAAAAACGCGATAATAAAGGCAAAAGGTTCCAAAAAGCTCTGTATTTCACAAGGTCCCCCACACGCCGTCAAGGTGTATTTGAGTGTACAGTATCCAAATGTGTGTCGCACCGTGGCATTGTAGGTTGTCGAGGTCTCCCCCACCAGATCGGTATTGAAGAACACCTGGCTTCGACTAAATCCCAATGAAAGACGCCGCTCTTCTACCGCCGACCGCACGTGGACCCCGTAGCACTCCGTCAAGTTTCCGGTGGACGTCTCCGTCCTCCACTGCACAGACAAGAACCCGCCGTCCTTCCAACCCTTGTTTCGAGAGCGCGTTGTCGTCGTCGTCGTCGTCATCGTCGCGTTGCGTGCACATGTCAAACGCGTGTAGGGAACGGTTGCAGGCGAGGCGATGGTGGGCGCGTCGAACGAAGCAGCTTCACACCGTTGTACAGAGGCGCAGTCGGAGCGTGGCGGGATGTGTTTTCCGGTACCAGGACCTTTGCCGTGTAGCGTGGTGTCACGCGTACTTTGGTGATTCAGGTTAAGGGGAACGACTTGTTGCCCTTGTCCTTGCCTTGAGTCTGTGAATGTACTGTGAACACCCTTGGTTGGCAAAGAAAGCAGGAGCGAGGATGACGACACGTGCATCCTGTCTATGCACGAACGACATGCCCCTCATCCCATGGACACACTCGGGAGCAGCCGATCTTCGCGGGAATCCCATGCCCACCTCCTCAATATTTGTGGTTGACACACGAAGTACCGAAGAATCCTCCCTGAATGTGCGATGCTCGCGTCTTGTCTTTTCGTCCGACGTCTGTATACCCAACCAAACATCCTACTCGGCGATGAAGGTATTTAGGACCGTCCAAGCCACATCTAAGACTCCATCGATATTCTGGTGCTCCTAGAGGTTGTCGTGTTCAGCCTGAAGTATTCAAAATCACCTGAATATTGCGGCAGAGAAAAGGTGGAGATATTCTCCGTCATTTCAACGGCTTTAAGTAGATACATACAATGGGGTTGACTGACCTCCTGCGCCTCAATGAGTTTTCCTACTAAACCCAGGTAGAAGGGGTTTGGCCTCAGAAGATCCACGGGTTCCCGCCTGAGAGCACTTTTCCACGCCATCTTCATCACGATAACCTGTCGTTTTCATCACGACAGCATGCCAATCCACCCACTTCATCTCGATGCAAGTTTCGTCACGACCATCTGCTAGTCCTTCCCGATAAAGACTGCTGCAGCTGATGCAGCATACGCGAACCGTAGTTCCGGCAGGCAACGTCTGCCTCGGATTCGCAGCAGCCGTGTTTGACAAGCAGGGCCTTCAACATCAAGGTTTTCGGAAGAATTGCACTAGAATCTGTAGCAGGTTGATGACCGCCACGCTCTCGCCTGCCACTGGTCGTACTCCTCAAAAAAGGATGTGATGTTGCCCGCTGTGACGAGGCTGGGCAGCAGCGTCTGCTCCCACTCCGCCGAAAGGACCGTCAGAAAACCTTCCGCCGACAGGAGGCGATCTCGCAGCAATGCTCGAAACGCCCAGAGATCTAGGATTCGATGGTACCTGTTCAAGTACCAGTTGCGTTCCCTCGCCAGAGAACAGGCACGGGGAGGAAGGGGGTACCGTTGATCACGGCGAGCTTGCTAGTCGGTTGTTTGTCGTAAGTCTTGACAGGCTGATCTGAGTGTCAATGTGGCTGTGTGGTTCCCTCAAGATCGATCACCGGTACTACTGTTCGCCGATGTCTAAACTTAGACCAAAAAACATCTACCCTGAGCCACTCAAAGGAGGGGTATGCCACGGGAAAATAATCACAATGTGCCCAAAGGAAAATCTCTACACTCGAGACCAGGGCGATCTACAAAATCTGTGACCATTAAGTCCTGGCCCAAGGCGGTGTCCGACTTGCACAGCTGACACGCGGCAACCAAAAGCCGTTTTATTTTTTCAGAAACAGGACACCACATAGACAAAGTAACTCACGAGCACAATATTTCGCAGTCGAAGTAGTCACACGAACCGAGGCCGGCGTCAGGCGTGGAGATCCGTGAATGCTGCATGGGAAACTCGACGAGGGTGCGGTTGAGAGCTCTGGCAATGACCAGACCATCGGACAAGAGAAACCTGTTGTTGCCTAGTTGTTCCCTGAAACGAAAGCATGTGTCGGCATGGTATCATAGGTCACGATGTTGAGACGAAACGGGACTGCTTCCGTGGCAGCATCGAAGAAACTGTTGGGGGAAGAAAAATCGAAACACGCGGCGGTGTCTTGGGACGAATGGCGATTCACGACGTGGTGGTTTCACCGACGGGTTAATACCGCCAACACAAGGATCCCCACGTGAATATAAAAAAACGCGGCATGGGATGGGTGGGCGACTAATGCTAGGGCGGTCTTCGTCAGTATCTTCAAGTGGCATAGGATGGGATGGAATGAGTTGGGTTGGCGACGAGAGGTGGGACGGGCCGACGACAGCAGGTACTGGACGCTTACCACTCAGCACGACCAAGGCACCACCCTCCACCCAGCCTAACAACGGGAATGCTTCGGAACGAAGAGGGTTGGGGGGGCACGCGACCAAAGTCTCGCAAAACTGGCACGGTCGTTGGCCCGACAGGTCATGCCACTGCTCTATGAGCGGCGGAGGTCGGGGTGAATCCACAAATCAGTATATCATCGATTGAGTTGTGATGCTTGCGGCCGCGTAGACCTCACGAAACGCCAAAGGGAAGTATAATAGCAGGCGGTCTACTTTACGCTTCACCAATCGACAGTAGTGCATCGTCAGGAACAACACGTAAACTCGGTCGACAAACAAATCTCCCACATCTGTTGTGATGCATCAGGTACCAAGCTTCATTTTCAACCGACATAAGAGGCAGCTGTCTACAGGAAATTCAACAAGAATAAACCATAAGGCACAGTCGCACCTTCCCTCCGAGAACAACAGATAACCCCCAGGATCGACCTCCGTCTGAAGCTCCGGCACCCCCCAACTCTCCATGCAGGTGCTGGAATCCCACCGTGGCGGAATGTTGGTCGATCGTCGACCTTCGACTTGTTGAACCCCTGCTTAGGTTTCGTCGTTTTCGTGATTGTATTTGGGGTGACAAGTCTGAGGAACAATAAGGCCACCCTGTTGGAGGTGTGGTTGCCTCTCCCCCCCCTCCGACCCCCCTCGCGTAACGCGCCAGATGCAGAGAATGGGGAGAGAATCGTATCGCCCCCAATATACATCACTGTATTGGGAATGCGGTGTCTGTAATAACATAGTAACGCCCTGGCAACGCACAAGCTGGAAGCAGTCCAAATATTCAGGAAACGGCGTTATTGTAATAGTAGAACTAGGCATTCGTGGCCGCGCCGTGCGCCGATTCGAGGGCTTCGGTATGCTGCGGGTTTTGCTGTGCATACCACATTGATCGGGATTTGTCGCCTGGGTCATGCCCGACTGCTACTGAGCGAGTTTGGCATGCGCTACACACGTGCTGAAACACCGACATGCGGTGATCGGCGATACTGAGGGGGCCCAAATATGTCCACCCCGCTCCCAACTAAAAACTCCGTGAAAGCAGGAGGAGGTTGTAGAGTAGACATACCTTCAAGCGCAGCAGTGCTATCGCCCGACCTAGCCTCCGCCCCTTGCAGCCACTCTCGGCCAGCCTCCTCCCCAACAAGCACACTGAAATTGAGAGGGGGAACCTCGTCCGGGATGCTCGTTTCTCCCCATAGCCACCAGGCCGACACCTTTTGCAGAAGAAGCGTCCAAATTGCCCTGTGCGCGCGAAGGACCAGGTGTGCGTGCGTGCGCCGGTGACTGCTCTGTGCAAAGACTTGTCTCTTGCAGACAAAAACAGAATCACTCGGGCCGCAGTTTTACCGTAGTCCCATTTGAAAGCGCCCCGTGCGTGCTGTGTGGTGGGATCGTCGCTTTTTTTCCTGGGTTACCAGAATATCACTTCACAACATTTTTGTGCTTGACTTGACGCACCAACAGCAGTGGCCGCACAGGCGGCAAGAAAACACGATAATCTGTACTTTTTCTACGCCCGCCCTCCTGCGCTGCTTGCCATCAATTTTTGACGCGAAAATCTTCCAGCAGCCCATTCCCTCCTCGTCGGGCGTACTCACGACTCTGCGCTATTCACTACTACGAATTTCCTCACTCCTCCGAGGAAAATCTCTTTTGATCCACTGTTTTTTTTATATGCATGATGTACACTTACTTTGGAAAGTGGCACGGATGGAAGCGCTCCTAAATACAACCTTCTCTGAATCTCGAGACATCCAGAATGCCTACACTCCGACGAACCGATCGATCCCTGCAAAGTTGTTGGTCTTGTCGCTGTCGCTGCTGATGCTCTGGGGTTGTACGCTCACATATGCCGCTCTCCCATCAAGCAAATGGCATCGGCTTTGGCCCAAGAGGGCGCCCAGCGACAGAAAAAGCAGCCTAACGATCCGGGGGAATTCACTAGCCGCAAGGGCGGTCTTGATTTACTGGAAATATCGCCCTCTTTCCTTCTTTTGCGAAATTCAGGAGTGCTTGACATTTTGTGGGCGCCCCCCTGTGGAGCATTCCCCGAAGGAGCTTCGAAAGCTTCGTTGGCAACTGCTTTTTTCTCCAGCATAACAGGTGGCCAGAAGAAAGTGGTAAGCTCCTGTGTTTCGATTGTACGTTGGGACGTATCTTGGCGCGATTTCTGTCATGGAACACAGCGTTACCGTGGCAAGAGTGCACCCTTCACGCCGGTCCTTGACAGTAGATACGCCTCTGTAGCAAGCTGCGCAAACGCTCACCCCTGCAGACGGAGGCTTTCGGCGTCATGCATCGTCGCCGGTGATGATGGACGATTATCGCTTCGACCAGAGCTGCGCTGCCGAATCGTAGAAGTGAACGAGTCTTGCCCTAAGTCCTCCTCTCTCTCGGACGTATTTTTTTATCCCGGCCTGCTATTTGCGCACGCAGCACAAAGTGATGCGCCAACGACAGAACGGTGCTGGGAGCAGGGGCGGAGAAACGCAGGCCAGTTCGTCTGAACCCGAAACGGCATATAAATCGCCGACGAACCGATACACCCCCCATCACTGGCGTCCTTGAGCCCCCCACGTCAGTCCAATCAACGCAATACACAGCGCAAGTCGGCACGCAGAGGCTGTTGCGGTAGCGCAGAGGCTGAGTAGGGGGATGCGAAGTAGCAGCAATACCTCCAGCAGGCGAAGCAGAAGCAAAAGCGGGGGCAGGACCGGGAGCAGCGGGAACCTGGGCGTCATCGCGGCCAAGGCGCGAGGCGAACAACACACTCGTTCGAGTTCGGTTGTCGACCTGGTTGACATCCTCGAGAAGAAGGAGCTGTCGGCCGCCGAGGTCATGGTCATTCGACAAAGCATGGTGCAGGTCAGTGATGTGTGAGGACCGGTCCTGCGTTATCGAGGACGTACGCCTCCTTTTTCATCGCCGATGTGATTGTTCTGCGGCGGAGCGTTACCTGGCTCACACGAATCCTGTTTTGTACCACCTCTCTGTTGCCCCAAGCCCCACGCCTTGCCGCCGGCACCCTTGTTGGCAACAACACTCGATCGGACACACCCGCCGGGGATAAAGCGGACAGGCGTGATGTTACATGTATTAGCGTTGAGCGCTGCTTGCCCCTTCAAACAACGACCCCCCCCAACTACACCCGAAGATTGCAGCCGACCCATCCATTTCGGCGCTCCAACTTCCAAATTTAGAGGGGAGTTTCCACCTGTACCAAACGTCACGCAACAGGAGGTCGTTCTGCACGTCCAACCTTTCGTCTCCTTCGCGCGCATACTCCCCTGAAGACACGTTACTGCTGTTTACACATGACATCATTCGTACAAACAAATCTCAAGACAAACAAACCGCCTGTTGATTGTGTGATGTACTCCAACAGACGGCATGCATGTAACACGGGGATAGTCTACCATTCTCGGGATCCCTCAAGATGGGCACTAGCGTCTGGTGCGATGCTTCTTCAATCCCACATGTTTTTCCCTTTCTACACGGCGACGAGTACTACTGTAGATAGGGCAGCGGGCTAGTGGCCCGCGGGGCGCGACTCAATACCTTGCAGTGGTTTTTCTGCGATGCTGTTGGACATTTCCGAATTATTCGAATATTCTTTTCGCATCTTCGAAGACTGGTGCATCCGCTCGCCGCTGGAGCGTAAAATACTACCGGTTACAGCAATACATGATGCGTAGCCTATCCCAACGACCAACCGCCGAGGGACACACACTTAAACACATGGCGTGACACCCTCGCCCGCCACAGCAGTCACCGCTCATCGGTCGACACCGAACAGCACTGCTGCCGGTACAGATGAACAGTGTGGTGGACATCAATGCACCATAGATCGAGCCCGTCGGGCAGCGCGGCGTTTCGCTTGCTGGAGGCGGCGTTGTTTGTTGGCTTCCCTCTTCTCCCGCCCTAAAGTTTACGGCGACAAACATCATGCCTGTTGCTCTGAGTCTCGTGTGACGACTGTGTCAACAGCAACAACGCCGCGGCTTCGCTCTCCCTGCAGCAGCAAAAACTCCCATCCACATCTTGCTTCCACCATCATCGTGAGCTTTTCCGACGAGAAGAAGAGCCCATCGTCAAGAATCCTTCTTGTGTAGCCGGAGAGCGGGCACCGGGTCGGCTGATCTTTGCAGGCAGTGTGATAGTTGGCCCCTGTCGTCACACGCCCTGCCAGTGAGCTGCTGCTGACTAGATGTGTTTGGTTCTACCCTCGCTCGATGTTCACAGACTCAAGACAGACTGTTTGTAGCCACCAACCCTAACGAGGTCGGTGGTGGTCCCGGTGCCGGTTCGGCCGAACGAAAGAGCTCGGCGGCATCGGCTGCGGCGATGGGGGAGGTGGTTGGCGACGACAGCATGGTCGTGGGCAAGGGCATCATGATCAAGGGCGACGTTGACAACTGCGCGGTGAGTTGAGTCTCTACTGGTAAGTGTACCTGGTCACGACATTTGAAGCTTTCTTTTTATTGTGTGTTTTGTGTTGTTTTTGGCATTCCTACGAACCAAACCTAGTTTGTATTGTTTGTGTGTGGTCTTGCGACCAAGGCAGGCTTGCGTGCCGGCAAAGATCGTGACGGACGAGGCACCCTACAGTATGCACCAAAATCGGGTGACCGTGCACCCACCGCCGGTGGATGATACGTTCAAAGCAAATCAAGGCGTTTTTTTTTGCTTTTGCTTGTCGGTCCGCGAGTTCACCCCCGCCCCCCGAAACAGACCCAATTAGGATCAAGAGTCCGGCTTCCAAGCGCCCATATGGATCTATGGGTTACGCTCGTGCACCCTCCCTTCCCCCCACCCTTCATGCCCGTTCGGTTTAGACTCTAATCGTGGAAGGCTACTTCGAGGGAAACTTTCGGGGGGGGTTCCTAGCGGTGCCAAAGGGCGGGAAGTACGTGGGGATGGCTGAAGTGCGAAGAGCTGATATCGGCGGCCGGTTGCACGGAACCCTCAGCGCGAGCACCCTACTCGAGGTATTTTCTACCGGTTCTCCTCCGGCAGCAGCATGATGGTAGAATAGTCGATACCGCTTGAAGGGCACCCATTTAGTTTTTTTTGCAAAGTGTCCTCGACGCAGGGAAGTGTCCTCACCCCCCCCCCCTTTATGCTACGTATGTGTGGGGCACCCTTCTTCTGAGGTTTATTTTGTCACTAAAGAGCTGAATTGACTTGAGGTGAGTGTCCTTAAAGCGGGGAAGACTGTAGTAATACCAGAGGTTTGCATGAGATGCCGCACACCCCGGACCGATACATAGTGAAAGGTCCACGGCTAAGAACGGTGCCTGAATCAAAAGATTATCAGGTTTCGGAAAGCTGTGGACGAGACCGTTCGAGCCTCCCGCCGTTTGCGGCACTGTCACTACAAGCCGACCTTTGGAAGTCGGTCCAGGGGGTATGGTGTCTTGCGTGGCCTATCACACGAAGTGATGTCCCGTCGGGGTATGTATGGATAGCGGCATGGTTTTGCCACAAACATCAATACCGAGAAAACAATCCGTATGATTGGCCACATAGAATACCATACCCCCTGGACCGAATTTCATGGTATCTCACATGACATCTATGTATTGCACGGAAGTGTTGTCCCGTCATGGCATGCATGGATGGCGGCATGCCTCAAGCACGAACATCCATGCCGAGATTGATTGCATTTAATCGTTTTAAGCATTGATGTTCGTGATGAAGCACAGCATCATCCATGCATGCCACAACGGCACATGATGGGTCACGTAAGATACCATGCCCCATGGACCGACTTGCAAAGTCCGACTTCACTCAGTTGATGGACAGTGCAGAAAATGGCGGGAGGCGTTGGAACGACATGGTATGCTCGATGGCGGCGTAAAACGAACGGCTACAAATTGGTGACTATCGTGTTTTGTCTTCGCCGTCAGATATATCGCGGGAGGGGCTCAACTGTTTGCGATGCTTAAGGGGTCGCTCCTTTTCCCGTGTAGAAAAAAATCATGTACGACGTCTGAACTCACGAATTTGTGGTGTTCTGTTGTGTTGAAATGCATGGTTTCGTACATTCTGGTGCCAGTCTTTTTCCCGTTGGGGGTCACGCCGGGAGGAAGGGAAACTAATGAAACGTACTACCTCAGCAATTTTTTTCGTAGGCTCTACGCCGATCTTCGTTCACTAGCACTGCCGGCAAACGTAGGCCACGATTGACAATTCCTCACCGCATTGCAGCAAGAGATGCAAATCAACAGATTCGTTGGACTTGGCTTGCGGGGTCGTAGCGTCCCGAGCAACGTTTACCGTGTCCACGCACGCAGGTGGAGACGCCAGGTGTTTTGCGCATGGTGTCGTTCGTGCTGCAGCAACACCATCATTTTTGTTGTTTAACGTGCTATACAATAGTCATGCTGTGTGCATCACCACCAACATGTTCATTCTTTTGGTGTTTCTTTCTGATTTTGTACAAATGCGTAAGTGTTGCTCGTGCGGCATGCAACACCACCAAGACGTTCGAAGAATTTGATACTTGCATGCAAATGCGTAGGTGCGGGCATCCGGCAAGATCGAGGGTATGGTGCGCTATAACGATGTCAAGCTCGAGCAGGGGGGCAGCATGGTCGGCGATATCCAGCAAGGAACGAAAACGTAGCTGGACGGCTTACCACCAACTGGTACTTATCGCCGCGTGCGCGATGATGACGGCCTCGCGCCGTAACTGCTGTATGATGTGCTTCGATTGCAATCGGAGCATGTATGTCCCGCTGCTGCTGGGGTCTGTTACAGACGGGGCGGTTCTGTAGGTCTTCCTTGTGAGGATACCACACCCTCTGTCAAGCCGTGCACTTGCAAGTAGTACTCTGCTGCTCGAATCGCTCTTGTGGCGTCCTTGTTACGTCCTGTTCAGTGTACTCGGTTCATGTGTCTATTGTGCTCCGTCAGGTGTAACATTCATTTAGGTCGTCTCGAGAGCCGGTAGAAGCAGATCCGCGGCAGATGAGTGTTCATCGCTGGAAAGGTTTAGTATTTTTTTTCCGTGTCACTTCGTCTGTATATGTACATTACCTACTGAATATCTACGGTTGGGTGTTTCAAGAATATTAATCAGTCCCATGTTGTACACGGAGCGTACAATATTATAGCCGACGTGGTAGTGTCATTCGTGTTCTTCGACGTATAAGTAGTGGAGACGTTTAACACTTTGAAGGCGTTACCATGGTCGTGCACCCTGTCGTCTCGTATTTTGGTTTTTCAGGACCCCCAAAACTTTCCACCCGACTGCAGGGAGGGTAGTGGAAGGTATTCTATACCAGGGGGCATGTTTTCGTTTCGTTCTTTTTGAGAGTGACGTGGTAGGAATGGGATACGACAGATGTTGACGGGAATTCTATTGAGAAGGCAAGGCACTATGAGTTTTATCGCTACTTGCTGGTGTTCTTGTCTTGGAAAACTTTTGGTTAGGCCCGCCTCGTGGAACACTTTAGGTTTAGCCGACGCTTATACTCCGCGAAACACAAGCACTAAATGTGAATCCGACTTTGGCGTAATACACAACAAGGCCTTGCGCGCCAGCAAAAAGCAAAAAACACCCGAAAACTGCTGTAGCAGCAACTCCGGTGCGTCCTATGGCGACGCAACGATTGACAACAAACATCTCCCGTTTGAGCAACCCTCCAGAATCGTGAAGACATTATGGGCTCAACGTGTAGCAATCAAGGGTGAAGAAGGCGGTCAGCCAAGAGAAGACAAGTCTAAACGAAAATTACACAAAACGACGATGACCATGCACACGACGCGGCAAGCTTGTCAACGATCGATGCCGCAGCTCCGCAGACATCGGAATAGGCTAGGCCAGGAATCCGCGGCTTGTTCAACACGGGCTGCCCGCTCTGGCAGTCTACAACAGTATTCCAATAAGCCTTCAAGCCACACACACTGCACAGGCCGAACGTAAACAAAAGTGTATGATGTGTTCATGTCTTCGTCAACCAAAAGCGTTCGCCCTTGTCAGACTGACGCTGGATTCCGTGAAGACTCGAGAGAAGAACGAAATAACATTTCTCAAAAAATAACTAAAAGAAATTACTAGCTGAACGGCCAACGCGGAACCGGGCACGTCATATTGACAATCACCCACACCCTCACCCCTGCACGGTCTCAGGCGCACGGATTCTGCTACTAGACGGGTTGACGCATATTCGTTGCTTGGTGTCCACACCGATGGCACTTGGGAAAAAGATAAGGACAGCACGCCTCGGCAACATGCACACCGTACGTGTATATGCATACAGCAGCATGCAAGCGCATGTGCCGCAAACGAGAATGACGTAGCCTGGGGAAACTAGCGGCTGCATCACAACCGCGTGACCCCCCCCGAGACGTACCTGTTCCTATTGTCTGCGGCGCCAAGAGGGGGTTTCCTCCGGTACGACTGGCCTGAAGCACCTCGCGCCTTCCAAGGTATGGTACTATGGTACTGTTGTACGACCGGACACACGTTGCGAACCAGGGGGGCAACAAAACGCCAAAATTTGGCAGCAGCAACGTGTCGTCTTGTCCTTACTCTCGAAACACCAGCCTTCCAATCACCGCACGGTGCCCCCGAGCTCCATATTGGTTGTAGGTGGGTGCCCCATTTCCTCACCGCCATGGTGCCTCCGCGCTCCTTCCTGGTTGTACGGGGGTACCCTCTTCCCTCACCGCCACGGTGCCCCTTGCACTGCGCTCTCCATTGCAGTTAGTTTACCATGCCTACAAGGGCAAGGTCGAGGCTCAAGCTGCGAGGTAGGCGGCGGCGGCTTCGACGTCCCCATTGGTGAACTGCAAGGCCTCTCGCGCCCCCGCCGCGGTGAATCCCAGGTCCTGCACAACACAGTCAACAGCGATTGCATGTGTATCTCCAAAAAAAGGGGAACGACACGATAGACGTTAGAAAAAATGTGACTTGCAAAAGATCCATATACAGTGCGGGTCCGCAGTTCAGAAAAATTCCGTTCAGAAAATAACGCTCAATTTCTTACGACAAAAAACTCAATCTCGGCCATAACATGAGAACGTCCCAATAAGAAACATGATCGTGTGACACCACCCCCAATATATCAGAAACAAGGGTTGCTGGGGTAGCATGTCCAATAAGAAACGTCCCACTCTGCTCCACCTTCAGTGCTCCCGCTCCCTCCGTACCCATAGTTTGACAGTGTTTTTTTCGTACATGGGGGGGAGAAATATTGTTGTCGCGCACCCCCCGCCTCCGCACTAGCTACTCCCCGCTTCGGCGAGCTGCTTTACCCACTGCTGCATGAATTTTTGGTGTGTTGTTGTATTCTTAGCCAGAAAGAAGAAAAAAAGAAAAAATAAGAGAATCAAGAGGATGCGACAGTCCAAAGGAGTAAGAAATGTCTTTTTTGAAAATAGACGATTTCGGCTGGCCCTTCGACCCAAAGTTAGAGATTGAGCCTCGACTCGATATTGACGTTTCTCATCTCCGGGCCCGTACTATAAAAACGGCAGTTGCTTACCTCCACTTGAGAGACACGGCAGTCTAGCGAGTGAGCCTAACAAACCTCAACCTTGATCACAGAAAGAGACTCTCAGTCCACAACCCTACTCGAAAACCTAAGTTCATGGTCGGTGTTGGGGTGCCCAAACATGGGACAAAAAAAGACGCAAGAAATGAACCGAGGCAAACTAATAGGTTTTCGTTTCTCTCTCTCTCGTTCTCTCGCTCTCTCTCTATCTCTCTCTCTCTCTCTCTCTCTCTCTCTCTCTCTCTCTCCTCATCCCACAGTCGTTCTCTCTCAACTCCGGCCAGAACATCATGTGCCCCCGCCTCCCCCGCCTCCCCCACCGAGAGTCTGACCCGATCCGGCGAAAGAATCACCCGACGATGACAATGCTCCTGCGGTGCCCCCTCTCTTGATCACGTTGCTCGACCCGAACCCTGAAGGAGCGAGGGGAGGGGGGAGGCATGCCGTCACATCAACAATTCAGTACAGCCGCCCCGTCAGTAGACCACGAGTATAGTATACACCCCAGACAAGAGCAATGTCAGATCATGAGAGTATTCACCCCCGACAGGAGAAACGTTAACGTTAGAGCAGCAGCAGCAGCTTCAGCAGCACACGCACACACAGCAGTCGCACGGATGGTTGCTTACGGTCTCCCTTAACTCCCTCATCTCCTTCCCGCACAGCCTTCCCACCGCTCTCACCCCCACCGCCGCCGCTTCCAAACAAACTGGAAAACCCACCACCGCCACCCCCGCCCTCGGCACGTTGGTTGGACGGGTGGTCCGCGGGGTTGTTGAGGGGGGTGCCAAAGGCGGCCGCCCCCATCGCAGCGCCGCTGACGATGTAGCCCTGCAGTAGCACCCAGTAAGAGTGAGGGGGGACAGCCCAAGCAAATAGTTTTGTTGTTCTCTTCGACAGCGGGAGCAGCCCCCATCGCAGCGCCGCTGACGATGTAGCCCTGCAGTAGCACCCAATAAGAGTTAGGGGGGACAGGCCAAGCAAATAGTGTGTTGTTCTCTTCGACAGCGGTAGCACCAACTCTATCAAGATCATAACAACGGCGACAGCACTGCAATACCAACACCACCTATGCATACATGAATACGCTCCAAGAGAGCTTGGTCACACAACGGCGTGATTGTTCACTTTGTAACCCGCTGAACTTCACGACAACAGCGGCAATAGCAGCTTGGCCTTGGGGCTGTGCTCGCCGGCCGCTCCACGAAACTAGCCAGGCAGTCCGACTCCCAGCTAGCCAGCCTAGGCCTCGACGGTTTCAGCCGGTCCAGACGTCCCTGCAGCAAGCAAGTAAAGGCAGATAACGAAAGCAGTGTAACAACACGCAGCCACGCCAGCAAGAGATACAACGGTGCAACAGCAATCATGCAGCCGCGCATGGTCCAGAGTGCAGACAAGAGGGGCAGAGGGCAACAACCAAAGTTGCACGAAACCGCACCGTTTAGTTCGTGTTCAATAACAAATCTACGACAGCAAAAAAACTCAACCCTTGCACGACTTCACGGCTCCAGCGCACACCTGCAAACCTCAAAGCTAACCCTTACCGATGTTCGTGTTCGACCACAAAACCCCGACAAAAAGCAAGCAACGGCAAGGATTGCGAGGTGGAAACGCCCGAAAACCCGAAAAGGGACACGCATCCAGACAAGGGCAGCACGGCGACTTATCTAACAAATGGAGTGCATCGTTCCATCTTGAAAAGATTGAATTCTCCATAATCACAGAACTTTTCCAACACGACGTCCAATTCAAGCTCTCCGAGATGTGTACCAGTGGAACATCATCTCAAACACGGTTTCAACAACTGCATCGAACCGTTTCGGACATGACCAATCAGGAGCATTTTGCAGACAACCCGGCAATCGAGTTTCGGATATTGTGCAACTACCGTATAGCAGAACCGGCTCGGAGACAAACCCTGCCATCGAATTTCGGGTATGCATATCGGGGATGGCTTCGCACGAAGCATGGTAACCCTTCGAACAAAACGGCTCACGTCAGCGTAGGCGTAGCCAATCCCGACGGCACAGAACAGGTCCATCCCGCTCCCGCTCATGAAGCTAAACACGCACGCCAGGAACAGCGGGCAGAACTTACAAGGTCGGAATCTGCAAGGAAAAGCGTTGTTGTTGCCGATATCGTGTGATCACGTCAAAAAATAACGTTCCGGTACCTTCTAAGATCCGTAGACAGTTCCGGTATTGCTCGGTAGTGTACCGGACTCTGCTAGGTGGTGGTACCTCCTGAGATTCGTACCGATTTTCCGCTTGGTTGTGCTTTTACACGCACAACAAACCATGACGTGCAGGTCCAAGGCCGCGGTGATAAGATGGCGATGGCTACGGTGATGCAACTCGGTGATGCTACTGCTGTAGTCAACTACAAGAGAGAAAACAAACACAGGTGGATAAGTTGGGGACAGTACCTTGGTTGCTCGTCGGGGGTTGCCATGCACTTCACCATGATGAGGGCGATCAGCAAGTCCATAATGCCGCCGTTCGATGAGAACAAGGCGGCCATTCTATGGTAGAATAGCGCCGTCAAAAACAAGATGGAGGTCAACGAACAGCAGAAGGAGCCCTCTTCTGGCAGTGCTCTCGACAACACCGACGTTAACAATGCAGGATCGGCGGTATTTCATGTGATTGCATACAACGGACCGTAGAAAGATCTGGCTTTTCCGTTCGGTTGGTTAGTGGCGCGCAAGCTGACACCAGCAAGAGAGCCGAATGACGTCACGTGGTGACACCGTGGTCTTGGGCTGCTATGAACGATGCCATCTATGAACGATGCTTGAAAAGGTGCAAAAACAGCTGAACGAGAAAATGGTGCGGATATCGCCCATCAACCCTTGCATGTATTCAATCGTGGGAAGGTCTGTTGACTGTAACCTACCGTTTCATCGAGCCCTCGGCGTGAGACGCGCTTCTTCTACGAAATTCCGTGATAAAAAAATCACGTTCGAAAAACACGGCCGGCTAGTACGTATTTTCGATAGCCGAAGACCTTACCTCTCCCATATTGACAATAATGTAGCACAGGGCGATGAAGGACAGCTTGGTTACCACTGTGAGGGTGCCCATGAGAGGAAGCAGTCCTATAGATCCTGCAAAAAAAAGAGGGGACCGTTGGGTGAGGAAGACGGAAGGGGGGTGAAGTGAGGCACTGGAGCAACTCGTAATTCACCGAAATAGCTCGCACTGACTGCAGCACGGTACCAGAAAACAACACGAATGTCTGGCCTGCTTGCACCACACGAAATCCAAGTTGTGTGTCGATGTTGTTGATGAGAGAGTCTTTCGTCGGGCATGAAAACGACTACAGCGCTGCTACGGCCTGAACATGCTCAAAGAACTTATCTTTCCACGGAGTAATATGGACAAGGTATAGAGTTCAAAGCAGTTGTTTTTATTGTTTTAACTGTGCTGCTGTTACAACGTGCAAATGCCATTAGTCAAAACATTTATGCTCCGTCTGTTTGCCTTCAATGCTCGAGAGGAACTCCGTCACACCAGTTAGTAGGTGCGTTAGGATGAGCTTGGGCACAATACGATAACCGAGCCACCCACTGCTATGCTATGAAGAACCCACGCAGTGCGAATAATACGGAAAGATGACTCACCGAGCGACCTCTCGAGGTTGTACCCCATCGTGCTGAAGATACTGAGGCCGAAGATGACGGTCAGGAGACTCCCGCTGCAAAACACTGTCGTGGCAAGTCGGTACGCTAGGCCACGCGGAGGCAAAGTTGATGTTGCGGTTCGACAAGAGAGAGACAGACAGACAGACAGACAGACAGACAGACAGACAGACAGAGAGAGACGGTAGGAAGAAAGAAGACGGCACGAGACGAGGCGGGTATTGCAGGTCGACGTCCGAAGGGATGAAAGCCGGGGCTGAACAAATCTATCGTAGATCCCGAATTCCTCCTGGGGTTTGGGCGCAACAACAGCGGAGAAAAACCTAGGCTCGACAAACACCCCGCCACGATCTTGCCGGACATCTTGCCTGCTGCTGAATCATGACACCAGGGCAGGAGGCATGGCACACAACTGCTGTGCGTAGGAGCGCCAGGGAGCAACCAGAAATACCCCGGACTGTTGACCCCACCGAATGTGAGACGCTAATCGATCACAACAACGCTAAATCTTGATTTCCGTGCCCTTGCAACCACCACCTGCCGGAAAGGCTTCCCCCAGATCAAGCTTCATACTGGAAAACATTTGCACCACTGATGGAGAATCCACAGGACCTGTTTCTTCTTGCTCATGATTGCTACACTACAGTAGTGGAGGATACATCAAGACGCGGAAAAAACAGCAGTAAATCAGGAGAAGACAGTCGCAGCGAGGGCAAACCTTGCGGGCTTGCTTGTTGACGTTATTATGGCACATAGCAACACATAGCAACAGTCATGAATATCGTGTGGACAGAAACAATTAGAGTCGAGGAGGGGATGCATGCTGCTGGGACTAGGCAGCAAATAGGGTACATCACCTCATCACCTCATGACAAAAGCAGCAAACAGCAGTAGTATTGGACCAACGATGCGCCAAAAGAGTAGTGGCAGTGGCAGCGTCACCGCGATGGTGTGTGAATGAGTCAAGGTCGCGCCATGGAGAATACTAATGGGGTATGGGTGGACGAACGAACAGGCACCATAAGTGTACAATTGTAACCGCTGATGGCGTTGCTCATGCTGCTGGATATTTTCCGTTCGATCACCGCGATTGTGATGTAAATCAAATCTACAACGAGGCTGGCCCCGCCCCGTGCTGAGCCCGACATTGTCCAACTGCAAACGTGGCCTGTGAACCTGCAACACTGTTCCACACATGGCTGCACACGTTTCGCGCGCAGACGCTGACGCTGCAGGAACGCTCACCTTGGAAGCTCTCGATGGTGTTGAATGGACTGTTGTTCAGGGCCAGGTCCAGATCTGGGAAGACGAAGCGCAACAGGTACGAGCCCACGATGCCGACCAGGTCGTGAAGGGGCAGGTGCTGGCCCACTCCCGACACCTGCACATCGGGAAGTAGTGCGAAACGCCGCGTGGGATGCAACGAGAGTGAGACGGCCGTCTGTTGTTGTTGTTGTTGTTGTTGTTGTTGTTGTTGTTGTTATTATTGTCTTGACAAGAAAAACGTCCGGATCTCTCTGCCCAGAACCTTCACCTGTCCGTCCTGATTTGAGTCGTGTAAATGTTGCGGACTTCTCGAGAAGGAGAGGGAGCAGGTAGGTCCCCTGCTCCTTGCTCGGTGTCTCTCATGAGTTGTTACACCTGTTTTGTTTAACGCTGTTCGTAGCCATACCAGTTCCGTTTCGAGCGCACCAGTTACGTCCACCATCTACGCCTTTGGAGAGGCCAAGAGAAGAGTTGTTCCTGCACATAGTTTATTGGAGACATCAAGATGCGATTGATGCATGCTTGGCGCTACGCCTAGGGCTCGGCTATCAATGAATAATCGACACACCCGCAGTAATAGGTTACAAGCTCTGCATCCACGACCACTGGCGTAAGCTACATTGCGTTTATTCAATTGACTGCCAAGCACACTTTGGTTTACGCGAAGGAGGAGACCATCCATAGTATCGACGACAGCCACCACGGGGACGGACAGTCTACGTGAAGGGAGGGGGATACAGTACAGGACAATGCTTTCGTCGGGTCTCGGTTGGTCTCGGTTGGCACCCGACAAACGGCTGATCTGCAAAGCTTAGGACGCACGTTACACGAAACGCTTCCACCAAACGTGGCATACATGTACAACAGTAGCTCTTGGTGAGAATGCGGGAATGAGGGGGTAGCAATATTACAAAGTACGATCAAGGCTGGTATCAACTCGTCTCCCAGGAAGTGTCATCCAGACGCAGACTTACAACAAGTCTTCCCCGGAGGATTTCCTCAACCCTTTTGGGCCTACAGCAATTCAGGCGTACTGAGTGATAATCGATTCATCATTTGCAAATGCTGGTGTGGTGGCAAGCTGTGGAGTTCCCGCCCTCTGTATCCATCCACTTCGGGTGCGTGGAAGTCCAAAGGGGTGCCCTTACTCTTTGCATCGACCGCGCTAGCCGGCTGATCATATATTCGCGTATGTTTTTTTTAAGGGCAATTATGTCAGGAATAAATAATCAAGCGCATGTCCGATATACATACCAGGAATACATGGGGTATATTTCTCGACATGATGTTGTGCTGTTGTTGTTTCTCACATTAGCTCTATATATAGTCCACAAAAATGGGGAGCCCGTGGTCTCAAAACCCGGCACATACGACGCCGCGGGAAAAAAAAACAAAACTAGGGTACAAACCACTCCGAAAAAGAAAACACAATGATAGAAAAGAACAGGTATCGCACCGACCGTTCGAGAAAAGAGCCCTCGGAAACCGATAAAAAAAATAAGAAAGGAGGACGCTTCCCAAACCCGCCCAAAGAAGAAATTCAAGGGTAACGTACAGGCACCAGGCACTACGCACCAGGGCATGGGAGTAACGGGGCAAACAGGACAAAGAGGCGGCAGATGGGCAGACAGCCAGACGTACAAAAACAAAGGCAACAGCAAAGCGAGATCAAGGTACCCAACACAGCAGAGTAGGCAGGGAGGTAATAAAAAAAAAAGAAACACAGCACAGAGGCCGAAGGCAATACAAAGGACATACATAAAGGAGCATAGCATACAGCAAGGAGGGAAACAGGGCGCAACAACATCAGCCGGGTACATAGTTCGCCACAAGTGCTGCCTCGGCCGCCCTACTCGCTTCTACAGCAGTGCCCGGTCGTCGTTTCTTCCCCCCCACCGCCGCTTCCCCGGTTCTCGTTCTCTTCGGTCCTGAGATGGCCGTACTCTCTGCTTCTGCTTCCCTCGCGCGCTGGCGCTTCGCGGACGCTTCCGCCTCCTGCCTGTGTCATTTCCTCATGAACCATGCCGCCCCGTCCTCGACCTTGTTGCAGCACACCTCCGAGTACTTGGCGCTCTCTTTCCATTTCCCCCCTTCCTTTTCGTCTCCCATGTTGAAGGCCACGAGGTCCTCTCCTAGACGAGACACCCAGTCGCTCTCCTGCCCGCCCCGGTATCCCACGCCCCCCGCCATCGCTCCTAACAGCATGCGCTTGGGGAGGCGGCTGTCCTCCATGCATATTGTTCTGGTTGAATCGGGGTATATATTTGTACATTTCTTGATACTTGTGGGTACACACAACCACACACCACACAATATCAGAAGAGGAGACACTCAGCCCCGGCGAGGCCGAACCACCGCGCAAGAAGGCCAGGGGGGTTGGTTCGAGGTATGACGAGTGTCGAGTGTCTCGCTGAGCTCACGAGGCACCGCTCCATGCAACTTGTCAACACCAAGGTCTTGAAGGAGATAGGAGGTTCGCTCAAGTGATGGATGAAGAAGCAGGAGGTGTTCCCCACTCTAAGTAAGCTCGCGGTGAACTACCTGGCTGTTCACGCGACCTCTGTAGCTTCGGAGCACCTTTTCTCGGAGGCAGCGATGACCACTACTGTCAAGCGCCATAGGCTTAACGATGTCAACGCCGATAAAAAAATTTTCGAAGCTCGAGTCACATGCTTTGGTAGCTTTGGGGAGGAGGTCGCACGTATTACAATAGATATTCCGTTTTTTCCGAGTATTATTTTTGCAGGAGACGGGCAAGATTCGGGGCAAGAGGAGAAAAGAAGGGTTGGTTGTGCTGTAAGTCGTGGGTCGCGAAGTAATATGTCCGTTGTCTTTTTCAGAGAGCGGGCGGTAGGGGTGGGTTGCTGTTCGGATGCGTTTCGTCTTGCTTGTGTTCGTTCGATGAAAAATCAGATTTCACGCGTTATCCGTATGCTGGCAGTTAGCAATTGCGATGCTCTTCGCTGTTGTTGAGTCTTTGGCGAGCATGATGATGACAGCAGCAGGGTCAAGAAGCGTTGAAGCTTGCCACTATATCCCAGTTTCAACGTAGATGTTCGACTGGTATCGCTAGTGGGTACAGTAACGCCGTTGGGTACGTGCTGATCTGTTCAATACACCCCAAATACACCCCCAATATTTCAGACATGAGGTATACCCCCCTCACTCATCAATATCCGAACCTGCTCTGAGATTTCCTCAAAAATCAGAAAATAGTCAAATATGTTTCCAGGGGAGGTACATCAATATTTATATACAACAGAGGTCCCTGTTTAGTGCCTGTTGAATAGTGCCGGTTATAGTGCCGGTCAAATCTCGGCGCATAGACAGCGCCCTGATTAGTGCCAGACCGGCTTCTGAGGGATGCCCACTATTGTGCCGGTTCGGACACTTCTGTACCCCACGATAGTGCCAGTTCACGCACCCACACACCTCACGGAGTCCCAAAACATGGCTTTGAGAGGCATGTTTTATTTTCGGCCAACTGAAAGGGACCGACATGTTATTTTCATTTTTCAGCCGGTTAAAATGTAAACATGCACCAACCCACTTTGTGCAGAGGGTTCGCCAATAATAATTGCAATAATTGGCGATGATAGTGGTGGTAAAAAAAAAAAGACGGTGAAAGCACTCCGTGAGGAACGTGCGTACAAAGCGGCAGCCTTGGTAGACATGTGCGTTATTCTGTTGCTACTGTTTCTGTCGTTACTGCGGAGAATTGGTCAACCCCCCCCCCCCCCCCCCCCCCCCCCCCCCCCCCCCCCCCCCCCCCCCCCCCCCCCCCCCCCCCCCCCCCCCCCCNTTTCTGGTGCTTTCACTTCCGGAGACAGTTGAAAGCACTGTGTAACTGCATCGAGGGTGCTTGACCATATTAACACAAGGTGGTGCGATCATCCTTCTTGCGCGGAGGGTCCTCGACCCCGCACAACATGATCCACATGATCCACTCGACCACCATTCATTATGGTAACCGCAAAAAAAAAAACAGAGGTAAAAAAACCCGGTAACCTGGTTGCCGAGCTCACGAAGTGAATTGGCTTGTTTTGCAACGTCGTTGCCANGGGGGGGGGGGGGTAACACAGTGTCCCGGGCCCCCAGATCGATCACATGGCGTTTAGAAGAATGTTGTGCTGTCAACCGCACTCTTAACTGACGTATTTTCATTGGTCAGCCGGTCAGCGCGGTCAATCCCAACTAAGAAAACACACGCTATGATCAACGCGCACACACGGGGTCGATGCTAGTGAAAGACACACACCATGGGGTCCCAGATCATGGGCTTGGTAGCATCAATATTTTCCTCTTGCCACACTGGGACTGACGACGTCTTTTCATCGGTCAGCCGGTTAGCGCGATCTGTGCTAATAATCACACACGCACGCACATATATCCCCTCCTGCTAAATAAAGTAAGATTTGGTTCCTTTCCTTTAGTAAGAGTGTATGCATTGAAGCTTCACAAACAACCATTGTTACCGCCAATGATGCATCGGGTGCCGGAGGGAGCATCTTCCTTTCGCTGTCGAGAAATTGCGCTTGCCCGGAATGGTTTGATCCTCTGTGAGGTATGCCTCGTACATCGAAGTATATCCTTTGCGACGTTCATGTGCAGGATTTACGCGACGTTCAGGTTATGAAGCACGTGACTGCTGTCCCGCCCAGTTAACTTTCTGCAAGCAAAATCTGCGTGTTCGACAAGGTAGGAACCATTTCTATCGTGGCACAGTCTGCCCGCGTCGCCCATGACACGATCTCACCAACTACTAATAATGTGGTACTCTGCTGACCCCGCAAAGTTTAAGCGCTGCACTCTGAAATCACACAGTTCTCGGCACTATTGAGGGATTTTCCGACCATGATTAGTGCTGCTTTGGCACTCGGCACAATAGTGCCGGCTCCCGGCACAGCAGTACCGGTGAAACTTCTGCGTACACCCCGGCACGAGTAATCAACAGGGACCTCTACGCTGTACCCCCTCCTTACCCGGATACACAACACTGCACATGCATATTACGAAGTATTTCACAGAGACACACATCACAGCTGTTGGCATGTGCTGGCACATTTGAAGCTGTACCGCATACGTTTTCGGTTGAAGCTGACGTCTGCCGGTGGGCTGTTCGACACGACAGAGTCGAACAGGCCACGACTGGCCAGCTGAAGAGACCAGATTAGCCTTCTTGCAGCCCACAGAAATTTCCCGCGAGCCCGGCGGGGAAGCTTCTACAGACACATACATGTGTTTCGATGAAGTATGCATGTTGGGACGTGTCTTGAGGCGATTTCTGTCATAGAAGACAGCATTGCCGTGGCAAAGAATGCACCTTTCAACGCCGCTCTGTTGACCACTACGCACCTGTAGGAAGCGCGACGCAAACACTCACCCGCGCACGCGGAGGCCCACGGTTTGCATCATCACCGGTGATCATGGACGATTGTCGCTTCGACCAGAGCTGCACCGTCGAATCGTGGTGAACGAGGCTTGCCCTAAGTCTTTTCCTCCGTCACGGCCATATTGGTACACTCGGGCTACTGCTTGCACACGCAGCACAAAGTGATGCGTCAACGAGAGGACGGTGCTGGGAGCGGGGAGCGGGGGAGGAAAAAAGGGGCAACGCTTCTGACCCCGAAACCGCGTCGTGGCTTATGAATCGCCGACGAACCCAGCATACCAACCCCCTCACTGCCATCCTTGAGCCCCCCAAGACAGTCCAAGGGACACAAACCAATCGGCATGTAGAGGCTGTTGCAGTAGTGGGGAGATGCGAAGCAGCAGCGGTACCTCCAGCAGGCGAGGCAGAAGCAATAGCGGGGGCAGGACCGGGGACCAGCGGAACCTGGGCGTATCGCGGCCAAGGCGCGAAGAGAACAACACAATCGTTCGCGTTCCTTCGGTGGTCGACCTGACTGACATCCATCCTCAGTTTTTTTTATGTAGACTCCATTGACGCAGGCTATCCATTCCCCCCCCCGCCATTTTTTCGCGCGCTTTATCAGTCCATATTGCAGGTATATAGACACTTGTAGTATCACATAATAGTGAATGAGATATGTGTGCCAATACTAATCTTGTGCATAGACTATAGAGCATCATAGAGTGGTAATTGTCAAGGACCCGCTGTCAGGCATCTTGATTAATTTCTCTGTGGAGCCAGGGTATTTACCCAACAAAATGCATATCATTCGAAAGCTACGGACCAGGGCTTTCGAATGAACCTATTTTTAGCTTTCACAGACATGTTGGTGACGAGTTATGTCCTATATACCGTTTCGCCGAAAACGCGAAGGAACTAGGAAGTCTCGATTTGCGGGGCCCCAACCACCTCTGTGAAAAAAAATATATTTTGTTCAGATGCTTTCGAATAGTTGGATTAAGTACATACATGCCCCCGCCTGGCATCAGGGGGGGGGGAATGAGAGAGTGAACACTCATTCGGGCGAACTTCACGTACGAGCCCGAATCGACCATCAACGAATCTAGCCAGATGGCGTACCACCAGGCACTCGACACGATTGCCTGCCCCAGTCCCAGCTAACATTCCACACTCTCTCTAGATCGCCACAGCATAGGCGAACGATTCCCCCACACTAGCGTACACACATTGCAGGTCCACCAAACGTATACGGTTCGGGCATTGTTAACAAGATGCCGAACGACAACGCACGTAAGAAATATTCATACAATGTGTACGCCCAAACGACTTTCCGAGGTGCGCCCTTACTCTGCCAAGCTCATACGCGATAAACACACTTAACAGGGCTGCGGACTATACCGCGCCCGAAACCTGGTACGTGCGTTCCGGTAACCGGGGCTGCGGAGACTAACAGCCCACCGCACATAGGAACACGCTCGAAAATTACTTGGCGCAACTCGTACTACCCTGTACCCGGGCTTCGCGGAAAAAGGACACCGGGTACACTTAGCCCAGGCAACTACCTTACGAATGCCCGCGCTAAGAATCTGCTCTCCCTCCTACTACCACCCTCAAAAGCACGGGCGGGCGGGTGGGAAAAACAGAATACGCTGCAGAATACCCCACCGACTGTCGCACGGACAAAAAACGCCGGACGCCTCGATCCCTTTTCTCGACGCGTTCGGAACACAAGTGACACTCCTCGCTTCCACACACACTTTATTCCGGGCATCCCGTGCGACACTCTGATTGGCTGGGGACTATTCTTCCGCCTTCACAAAACGCAGATTTCTACGTCTCTGACTCAGTAATCTTTCGCTTTGTTCAGATGCTTTCGAATAGTTGGATTAAGTACATACATGCCCCCGCCTGGCATCAGGGGGGGGGGAATGAGAGAGTGAACACTCATTCGGGCGAACTTCACGTACGAGCCCGAATCGACCATCAACGAATCTAGCCAGATGGCGTACCACCAGGCACTCGACACGATTGCCT